TGAGCTGAGCCAACACTAAAAATATCTAATGACAAATAAGACAAAAAATGACAAAAGGGGCAGGCAGAGCTAAGTAAAGAATATAGGACTACACTGGATTATTTTTTTTTTTAATCTAAAAAAGTATTTTTTTCTTAAGAGTAGTGCATTTTTCTTGAATTGAGGGGGTAGAGACACTTTGCCAATGAAGACAAGACAATTTATACTTAAAATAAGAAAAAAGCAATTGCATTGTCTTATTTCAAGTGCATTATACGTAATTATTATAAGAGTACAGATACTCGTTCCTTTGGCAAATCACCTCATTTACCTACTCAAATTAATGGGAAATACACTTAATATAAGACATTTTTACTTATTTCTATTTTTTGTAGCGTTACTAACTAAAGTGAAATATATTTCTGTGCAGCATGCAAGAGGTCTGAAATGCAGTAGAGATGAAAACCGCTTTGATCCAGCTTCTCCCGGATGTTCAAGCATAATAATTTTATCTTTGTAGATTATCCTCCCAAACAAACGGCTGCATAGTTTACCTGTACTGTAATCTCTTCTCAGCCATGTGACTATTGTTTGTGCTTCAGGAAACAAACCCAAGCCACCAGGTGACAGTCACGGTTTAAAAAAACACTAATCAGGCGGATTAATTGTTTTTGGAAATGTTTCCATTGTTAGTTTGGTTGAACATATTGATTAACTTATTGCAGAATCGGCACTAAAATGTTGAAAGGTAGGTTTTGTTACCTGCAGGTGTTAAGATTATGACCTCTACATGCAGTAAAAGGTTGTTTGATTTTGATCTTGACCTTAAATCAATGCCTTCATTCCTGTAACAATGTCTCTCTGCAAACTTTTCATAGAACCAAAAACATAGAACTTTCCTGAGTTGATTTTTTATTTTTTCCTTCTTTGGGCACAGGGTAAAATGGAGGGATGAGCTGGCTTAGGAAGATGTTCAAACCTTTTGTGTCAGGGAGATTCGAAGCATGTGAAGAAGCTGTTTCAAGTGTCAGATCTGCTAATAGCTGCTCGGCTAACATGGTGTCTACCTAATCCCTGATGCCTTTCTGCACAAGTTACTGTCATCGATGTGCTCCTTCCATGCAGTGCTTGTAGCTGTGCTTTCCCTGCTGGAGGTCCCTATTCAATTTGTAATATATGCTGTTTCAGTATCTTGCCAACACAAATTAAAACCCCTATTGGTCTTATTCATGATATACAACATTTGGTCCATTCTTTTTAAATCCCATCCTTGGCAATTGGAACTTTGTTTAAGTTTAATAAAAGTTTCAATAATAGAATACACAACCCTAAAATAAGTTATAGTTTTAACCTTTGACTTTCCCCTCAGGGCATAAATACTCATCTCTATTACAGAAGCATGACCAGTTTTTTGTGAAATTTAATGAAGATACAATGTTTTTTTTTTAAATCCTAATTTAAAGTTATACTCATTTGTAGGTTTACATTATAGTGGTTGCCCTAACTGAATGGAAATTGTTTTTACATTAGGCTACCCATATGCAGAAACAGCATCTACAAAGGGTGTTGTTGGGTATCTAAAATGGAAAAATTTATTTTCCTGTAAGTTGATCAAATTCTAAGAGTAATACTCATAACCATGGTTAGGATTTTGTTTGCTTTTGAGCGTGTGCTCACTCTGACACAGTACATCTTCAGCCTCTGACCCTTCCTGTTAGCCCATCATTTCCCCTCCTGTCCCTTCTAATAAATCCATAGGGGGCCGCATGTTCGCTAACCCCCCTCCAGATGAAAGTGCCATGGAGCAACTCCAGATGTGAACATCCTCCCTCTCTGTCTCTCTCCTCTGTTTCTCCCACACTCCTTTCTCTCTCCGTGCTCCACTGTTGCCTTCCCCCACACAGCTATGACTTTTCCATGTCCTTTTTTGGTGAAAAAATCTGAAACAGAGGCAGGGAGGAGGACATTTCACCAACAGCCGACAGGAGAGGGGATCTGGTGTGTGTGCACTCCATCAAGGCAAGAAAACAGCCAACTCAGCATAAACAGGAGTTCATGTCCAGTCAGGGACAGACTGACACGTGCTTTTCTTTATTTCATGTATTAATTACTTATGTATTTTATTATCCTAAATCCATGAGCACAGTTTTTACTCCCGTTACACATCAAGGCTGTATTTAAAGCTTTCTCACACTTCATGCCTGCTCTCTAAGGAGCAGCACTCACACACTCTATTTTTTTAAATAGACATTTCTAACACTCCAGAGAGGTTTTCTTTGGCTTAGCACATAAATAAAAGTCACTAAAAAGCCATGCATACTTAACTCAGCAATAGATCTTCAGTACAACCACAAAATCTTAAAAAAAGATAAAGTAAAATCAGTCAATCTCACTTTATTTAATTGTCTTTTAAAAATAAAAGTAACAATTCATCTACACAACAGTCACAAACTGATTTACAGTAAGTTGAAACAGTTGTCATCTTGATGGCATATTTTCCATCCTAAATCATCTATTTGGCCAACTCTGACTCACCAGCATCAACGCTGAAATTAGCTAAACAAATATTATATCTATGCTGCTATGAAAAGGTATTTGCCTTCTGACAGGTCTTGCTATGGTTCAACTGACTTGTAACACTTAGAAGTTTCAGATCATCATCCTCATCATCATCATAAAAAAAAGTTATTCTAGACAAGGATAACCTAAGAAAAATGACAATATAATTTAAAAAAGAAAAACTAACCAAATCTCTTATATGTGAAAATGAATTTCAGCCTTTTTTTAAGTAACTCTACTATGATCAATAAAATCTTTTGGCCAATTTAAATTTTATTATCCCCAAGATTTGATTACTATTTTATCTGCAGATAGAGGAGGAATTCAACTAAATAGGGCTTGTCGTACAGCAAGAAGTATGCTAAAAGAGTTCTGAATGAAACACCTTGTGACTTGTTGAAAATAAATTAAATTCAGATATTTGCCAAAGGCACTTACATCTATAAATGTTATCCAGGCATGGAAAAACATGAAATAATGATGAAATTTCCCAGAAGTGACCAAATCAAACCAAAATCATTTCCATTTATTTATATATATCACCAAGTTAAAACAGATTTTATCACAAGTGCCTTGAGATGTCAATCAAATCATCAAGACAGACTTGATGAAAGCTTTCTTTCTAAACTCTGCTGATTGCGTCGAGTCACTGACTTGCCAAGATCAACACTCCTGGATTAGCATGAAGTGAATATGGACAGTCCTTTTCATTGTGACGTTGACTAGAGAAGCAATCCCCCATACAGAGCATGCATGTATGTTCTGTATGAGGGACTGCTGCTTAGTCAACGTCACAATGCGATCACGCATACAGAGCATGCATGCAGCGACAATGGAGGGGAAAACTCCCCTTTAACAGAAAGGAACCTCCATCAGAATCCGGCTTGATATGAGCAGGGTTAGGACTCCAGTCTGTGTGGTTTGTGTTTTTGTGTGTTTGTCTTCCTTCCTCCACCAGGCGGCGCCTGGCTCTGATTCACCTCCTCACACACCTGCAAGGAGTTACCTCATTAACGGAGTGCTCTTCAGCTGCTGACTGCCACTACCTCGACGCCAGAGTGTTTGCCAGTTTTGGGAAGTCTTCCTGCAAACTGGACGTTTCTGACCTTCTCTCCCTGGAAGGATAAACTGAGCCTCAAACTTAGCTGGGGACACAAACTGGAGCTTTGGATCCATTTTCCTTCAAGGGATCTTTTGAGTTTCACAGTGAGCAAGGGATTCATCTGCACCACAGTCCGTTCAAGTAACGCAGGAAATCTGAGTGGCAGTCAGTTTCTCCGTTCACCTACAAGCAACCGCATTCTGGGTAAACCCTGTCCACCCTCCACAGAATGAGACAAACACTGGAACACATCCCACACCTACTGGAGTCAAAGAGTCAACCATTTCTCTGGAAACGTGAGTCTGCCTACCTTTCCTCCTCTTCAAGTTCGAGATTCAAATTTCCCACTGAACCTGAACTAACCGCAATGTCTTCTCCTCACCTTTCAGTTCCAGTTGAGCAGTGTTAAGAGCAACACTGGAATCTCCACAAACTTCTCAATATACCTGTTAAACCTTTCCCCCTGGTCTCTCTGTATTGGTTTCTCTGCATGTGGGTCCGAGCTCTTGATAAAATCATGACAAGCGGCCTTCTGCCATGACCGACCGGGGGTTTTAGAAGCCAGAACATAAACATAAAGGAACACAGAAACACTAATTGAGGAGTACTTTCCACGTGAGAGAAAAGTAAAAGGTTGGTTGCAGCAGTAGCAGAAACACAACTTAGCAGATGAGCTCTGAGCCAGAGAAAATAAGGAGAGTGCATACAGTTGGTCGCTATGACAGCACAGCCAGAAGTCATTGAGAGAGACAGAGTTAATCACTTGTGGATTGGACCTAGTGTATTATTTATAGGAAAGCATAAAGCAGCAGCTCCTACTGGATGGTGTCACAGCTGAACCCAGTGCCAGACCAGATGGAACTGAAGCAAATAATAGAGGTAACCAAGCTCAAGAGTCAGGTCATGGCAACCATAGATGGAGAGGTCAACGGTAAAACAGAGAGAGAGCAAGAGATCCAAGAGGTGTGGCGCCTTCGAAAGAGTCAGTACTCAGGAGAATCGTTTGACTGGACTGCATTTATTTCCATAGAACCGGGCTGTACTCGAAATCCCCATTGATGACTTATCTGGGTGGTACCAAAAGAATCCAAAATGCCTGATATCTTGCTTATGTCAAGGTAAATTTTTATTATTTAAAACTAAGAAAGTGACACAAAGGACAGCACCCATAGGAAAGCTTCAAGACCAAAAATATTTCAGAAAATAACCTTCAAATTGAAAAGGGAACAGGAGCACTCCAGTTTTCTTGTACCTGCAAGAGAGGTGTGTCCCTGGTGTGTATATTGGGGTTACAAAAATTCAGCTTTTTGGAATATACCAGAAAGTGCTCTGTCACATAATATAAAACCCACACTGCCAGTTTTTGCAAAACTGTAATGGCACAGCCAGATATTGGTTTTATTGTCTTTTTACATAGTACCAGGTTTGTTTGGATAGTTTCCACCTTAATGAATACAATTATTTAGTGAAGACTGCATTTAAAATATTTATCTAACTTAAGATTTTTTTAGGATGACCTGAAACATAAATGTGATTAAAAATAGTAAAAATAAGAAAAATATGTAACGCTACAAATTGTTTGATGCAGCACTGTGATTTTTCACATACAGGATTGAAGCTGAAATTAAAAACAAGTAAAAAGAGAAATCGTGGCAGAAGACATGCATATTTTCGTGATGTGAAAACAGTTTGGCTTTTTTTTTCAAAGTTAAAAATACAGATTCTCTTTGTGCACAAATATTAAAACTATACATAATAAAATAAGAAAAAAAAAAGAGGGCAGAACGGAACTTTTATGTAAAAACAAGAGTCATTGCGGAGTAAAAAAAAAAGGCACACATGAAGCCAGGAGATCTGTGGCTTGCGCCTTGTTTTAACTCTGTATTTATGTGCACATAACATGGTAGCAAAAGCACATCTTTTTCAAAGTGCAAAAGAAATATTTTGAAAACCAAAAACTAGGAAGACCAACACATTTTCTACTCTTTTTTTTTTACTTTAAATGTAAGGAAAAAAAACAGTCCAATATTTAGAAACTTAAAAAAAGTGTCACATCTCCTTCTGTGTCACTTTAAACAGTAACTTGTTGAAAATGCATAAAAACAGGAAAATAAAGCAATAATAGGTAAGTGATAAAAAGCAACATTCAAAATGCATAAACCTGCAGTAATAAGAGCATTAGAACAGTAACTCATCCATACAACTGAAATATAGACCATATGTATTGTATAATATATCAGTGTTCTGTCTTTTCTTTAGAGCCCTGAAGTAACATTGATTAAGACATATTTGGCAAAGTGGCAAGCATTTGCAGTTTCTTATTTAAACATAAAAAAAGAAAAAAATGATGGTAATAAGGCACTCCATTTACAAAATCTTTAAATCTCTTGTCAAAGAGAATATCTTTGTGCTGATTTATGCAAACCACGCAGAATCAGCATGATTTTGCATTCTAGTATAACTCATCTTATATGAAAAGGCCATTGAAGAACAACTGTCTTTACATCAAAACAAACCTGAGGCAGGATTTTTTTTAGCCTGTTTTACCCCCGTTGTTATATAACCAAGGGTGCTTTAAAAAGCTGATGATGAACAAAATAAACGGAAATCTGGGTAAGTGCTTTATAGATTGTTGTGGCAGTCACGGCAAAGGATCCTGTCGCCATCTGGGAAAAAACCCGCACCCACAAGTGAGATGGAGCAGTTGGAGCAGGTGAAGCATGGCTGATGCCATTGACGTTCTTCAAATGAGATATACTTTCCTCCTCCAAAACCTAAAACGAAGGGACAAGCAGTCAGTTTAATCTAAACAGCAATTTGTTCAGGCTTGATGATAGAGATAAAAAGCAAAGATCCTGTCAGGGACTAATAAAAATATTAACAAAGTGGACGCTTTTTCAAAAAAATTATGTTAAACGTTACTTTCTTAATACATCTGCAAAAGTAACTTTTTTAATGCACCTTATTAAACTTTTGTGTATCTCAAAGCCTATAAACTTAATGCTTATTATTAGGATTTTAAGTGTTAGACTAACACAAAGTATTACATAAAAGTAAAGTGAGGGTGAATGAGGGTATTCCTCTTTTATGTCACTTTAAATGTAAATCATTTGAAGTGTGTTTCGGCCCGGCCTGTAGAAATAGCTAAAGCAGTTGTCCGAGGTCAGGGGTTAGGATCGCTAAAACAAACAGTCAGATTTGATTGAATCTAAATGGCTTCTCCTGCTGTAATCTGTGGAAATAACAAACTGGACACATTTGAGAGCAGAAGAAGCACAATATAAACAGAAAGGTCAGGATACAGAGATCCTTCCAAAAATGTAGTCAGAGTCTAACAACAATTTATCTGTTTCTCTTTGGAGCTGAATTGAAAAAAAAATGTTGTAATTTATTTGTTACAGTGGTTCTGTTCAGTTAAAGAGTGTGCTAATCCATATTTTGAGCTCTTTGCATATTACAATATTAGACAGTAAAGGATTAGATCATTGTGATGACATAGCAAAGCAGCAAAATCATATTAATAAATATGGGTCTGTACAGTTTTAAAGTTGTAAAAGACTCAGATAAAGCATGATTTCACAAATAAAATGGAACCAAACAAAAATATTATTGTTCAAAGTATGATTAGGGGATTCTACAGTAAATGAAGAATTGTGATAACTGCGGAGAACAGTAATAATAATAAAAAATAAAAAATAAAAAAAAACCCAACCTCAATTCCTTTAAAAAAAGTGAAAAAAATAAAAAGTTTTGAGAAAAGTAAAAATAATGTAATTAGCTAATACAAAAAACAGGATCTATCCACTGCTGCTCTGGAAGATGCATCATTTTTATTTTGCTCTCTGATAAGAAGAATTGATTACACTTTAAGTATGTTGTAGCCTGTCTTTTTATTCTTTTATAGAAATTTTACTTTTAGTTTTTTAAGGTCAGCTAAGACCAAATATCAACTGTGTTCATGGGTGGGCACAAATGCAGTAAATTACATCATTAGAGCAATCAGAATCTAGTTATTAAGGTTTTACACATGCACTACGCAATAATGTATATTTTTATTTATATAGTTCAATGTATGGTGTTGTTTTTATTTTAATGTAAGCTACTTTATTACTTAATCAGTAATTTATCTTAAGTTAAACTACATTAGCATCATAGGAATCAATCAAAGTTGACCTTATCAGATGTTGTAAAATGATACTCTAAAGGATCCTTCACCTTGATAATCATTGAAAAACTGTTACTATAGCCTAAAGTAAAACAGCTGCAGCTTTTTGAAGTATTAAAAAGCTGTCATTTTGCTTTAGAAATGTAAATATGAGGATGAAGTCAAGTAAATAAATCTCGCCTGTAATGGGTTTGCTGCAGGCCTCACACTTCTTGGCGTACAAGCTGCCGAAGCACTTGAGGCAATAAGGGCTGTCATCTCTAGAGGTGAAGTGCTGACCAGCCAGCTGCGTCTTACAGCCTGTGCACACAAAACACTCCTTATGCCACGGCTCATCCCGATAGGTCACGCCACCTTTAGCCAGGGCCTAAATAGGAAAACATTATTTTTCATATGAATTTCTGCAATCAATCAGTCCTACTTATTATCTTTTCACTCTATTAGTTTTAAAAGTTTAACCGAGCCTAATATAATAGGAACCAAGTTGTATTGTAGTTATTTGACAGATTCACAGACCTTTTTACAGCGTGTGCAGCGGGGAGCAAACTTTTCCTCATAGCAGGGCACACAGTAGTGCTCATCCTTGTCAGGAATGAAGGACTTGGAGCCAATCGGCTCCTCACAGCTGTGACAGATGAAGCAGCCCTCGTGCCATGTGGAACCTGCATACTCCAGTTTTCTTGTACCTGTAAAAAAAGGGAAGTAACAGTACCAAAGCATTAGGAGGGGCGGGGAAGTCACAATAAAATACTTGATTTCACAGCAGCATATAAAAATCCTTTCATTTCACTCTCATCATGCGTCTTTCTACAGCAACAAAGTGGCAGCAAGCTTTAAACACAAAGAAGTGATACAGTTTTCCCCTCTGTGATGCAGACCCATTGATCTACCAGTAAATCTCCTGGATGTTGAGTTTATTATGCTGTGATCCAGCGGTTTATGCACGGCTGACATTTCCACAGATTGCTTATGTTTCAGTGCTTGAGAGTCTCCATGCTGCACTGTTCCCTAATTAAAAACATAAAAGATGCCCTAAAAAACAAGAAGAAGAAAAAAAAGTCTTTGCACAAAATAAACTAAAGCAGGATTCATTGCGGCTCAAGATGGACAATAATGGCTGTTTGTTGTGCACAGCTACAAATGAAAAACAGGGTGAGGTTGAAAGGTCCAAACAAAGACCGTTTTTCAAGTGTTGAATCATTATGTTCTTAAAGCAGTCAGTTTGCTTCTTTGGAAATATCACACTAGAGCTTTAACACGAGAAACTTCAATATATTATTCATTGATTCGATTTAAAATCCTAGTGATCAGGGAGGAAAAAACTGCTAAATGTGTCTGAGGATTTTATCCTCTAGCAGGGTTAACAGAAATTTCCTGACATTTCAGCACCTTGAACAACTCACCTTTTTTTTTTAAAGTTTCAGCTGAATATGTTTATACAAGTTCACTAATTTATGTCAGCAGTGGGTGGGAATCTGCTTGTTTTATATCTGTTCATGTTCAGGGAAAATCCTGGCCGGAGACCAACTGAAGAGGACTTTAAATGTGACGGGTAAATTCTTAATGTGGTTTTTTAAAAGTTAAAATACCTAAATCACACTATAATACTTTTGCAAGTTTTTGCAACAACAGACATTTTGACCAACAGACAACATGACACCCAATAAATCAACATTCAAATTATTTAACAGGCTTAGACACGATTTTTAAAAGTGAGTATGTGATGTTGATGTAAAGGCACTACAAAGGCATGATAGTCTTTAACAAATTTCACCCACCTTTTCTTTACAAAAAGGATTATGTTTAACTGGTATCCACAAATTATTTGAGATAACTGAATAGGTAGCCCTTGAACTAAAAAAAAAAAAAACTGCTATAAATACATATTGTGTTTGTTTATCGGTTAAAGTTTTACGTTTTTTGGGTCCAAGAACAAAGAAAACTTCAAACATCAATAATTGACATAAATGTTGTTAATATCATGCTCTATATAGTTTGGAACGTATTTCATGACAATTTAAATAAAATTTGTGCTTTTATTTTGTTAATATGTTAAGAAGATAAAAATAATAGCACTATTATGAGCTTTTTTTCTTACAAAAAGAGTAAAGCATTATCATAAACATCTAGACAGGAGAGGGAAGACTTATAACTTCACTTTAAACAAGAAACCCATTCTTTATTAACCTGAAACTAAGTCTTTACTGTTTATTAAAGTTCAGTTTGTAAGGAAAATATGTGATGATTATAAGACAAACTGACATGAAAAGCATTGGAAGCCGTGCAGCTTTACCCAAGGTGCTGTTACAACATTACTGGAAGAATCTGCACGGGTGGTGGCAGCTTTATCTCCTGTTACCATCAGTTCTGCTGGCAAGCTTCCATGGTTTACAGACAACAAGTGATGCAGAGAGATAATTAATCTGTCACATTCAAAGGATTTAAGTCTTTTACACCTATTTCTCTCCCACCGCTTCTTTTCTCTCTGAAATTTTTCACTTTCATCTATTAGTTTTCCACTTTAATTCACTACTAAACCATCTGTTTAATTTGACTTGTATATACCAAAATCATTTGCCTATTATCTTTTGAATTTGCATACTACATAGGAAATAAAATGAGGAACAACGAGGCTTTGTGACAATAGCCTCTGGATTTATTGATGCATCTTGTTTTAAATCCCTCCTTTTTTATCAGATTTGTGAGAAAACACCTGCTGCATCTTCTTTTACCTTTACCTGGCATAACGATCTTATCACAGGCGACACATTTGGAGGAGAACTCGTTACAGTAGCAGTCATTGCAGAGCAGTGCGTCATCCTGGCTGGTGAAGGGCTCATCTGCCAGTGAGCGGTCACAGCGGAAACAACGGAAACAATGCTCGTGATAATGCCTGTCCTCGTAGAAGAGCTCCTGGCAGCAGAAAGGGGAAGAAACAATAAGGAGACTGGAAGTCATTTTTTTGCAGCTGTAAAAGCTCCACAAATATAAAGTCCTGCTGTCTGTGACTTGGTAACCAAAGAGGCCAAATAAGGGAATGACAGGAAAGCTTTAAGTAAACATAGACCGGAATTTATAACTAGAGCAGAGGAGAGTGTGAGACCAACATCAACATTTCTGCATAAAAAGTAAAACAAAGCACACCTATGATGCATCAAGTATTAAATACTACTACTGTATATTGTTTTTTTCACACTTTTTCAGATAACAACCACATTTTGCTATGATTTTCAATAGTATTTTATGTGATGGACCAACAGTACATGCCACCGTGTTTAAGATTTTTCAAAACTCTGTGACAACTCACTAAATTTGAATTTTCACTATTTTTCTTTTAAGTTGTGGTATGCATTTGTTTCCTTTTACTCTTAATAATCAAGTGCAACCAAATAAATTCAAAAGTCACCTACTTAGTACCTGTCTGCAATTAAATTTCACATCACAGCTTAAGCTGTTTATTAGAAACAGGGACACCTTGGTGTATCAATTCTTTAGACTTTGTGTGGCATAAGGGGGGCCCCTTATCCCACTGGAAATTTTTCAAATTTAGACTCTCTGAAATGCTATTTCCTGCATTTTGAGGTTAAATGCAACTAACTTTTTGTATTTGTTACAACACTACTTTTGTCCTGATTATGGGAAGTATGTGTTCTTGACTAGAGGTGGAAATTTCATAAGGAAGACTTGGGATCATTTTCAGGTACAAAATTATGTTTCATAGGTTAATTCAAACAATCAGAAGGTGTTATGCTAGGTTCACACCGTGATTTAAACAGTAAAAAAGCATCTGCTGCTTCATTTTTGAGGCTCGTACACATTAAGGTCAGACGTGCCTCAAGTGCATCTTTGACGCTCCTGAAGCGCGTCCAGTAACGGGTGTCCAGATGCGTCTAATGCTTCTGCTGCTCATGTGTTCAATGGCAGGAGTGGCTTTGTTATAATTACTGTGATCAGTGGGTAAAAAGTAGTTTTAATATGTTTTTAAGTGAGAAAGTCGACCTCAAAACTATCTATGCAGTCAGTTTATTAAGATTACGATCCAGGCTTAAAATATAATTTCGCTCTTGGATGTGCACAGACCCCCACATACCAAAGGTGCACCATCACTGGGAATCCCAAGCAACAGCTTTCTCAGGCCAGGTCGCCTCTTGGGGGATTTCCCCTACTGTTTGTGGTTGTTGGAAATAGATGTTAGCGTTTTTCAGGTATATGGCAAACAATACAGGCACCAGAATAATAAAAGCAAAGATATTTTGCTGGCAGGTATTTTAAGTTAATATAGGCTTTAATAAACTGTTTCAGTGGATTGATCATGGCAATCTGCATCAGCAGCGCTGTGTCCAGATGGTAGTGATACAGACAGCACTGCTAATGCAGATCGCTATGAGATGCCAGTTATGCATCCGATTTCATGGTGTACAAGACACCGCAAGTACAAAGGTTCCCTCTTGGGATTTTAGTATGTATAAAAGAAAATGGAATTAACTGTGTTAAAGTTGCGGCTCTAAGCTTCAAATGTAAAAAAAAAAAAAAAAAAAAAAAAAAAAAGATAACTTCACAAACACTGTAGTAGACCCTCCAATAAACTCCAACAAGGAGTGCATGTTGGTTCTAAATAACCCCCCTAATTTTAATGTTTCCCTTTTGAGAAATATCTAATTTTAAGTTGACTGCGGAGAAGGGGAAGACCTATACTCATCCTGCATTTTTAAAATTGCTACCTAAATTACTCAGCTGGCTTTAGTGGATTTAGAGGAAATTGCCTGCATAACTGCATTTTAAATGAGCTTTCAGTGTCTTGCCAAAATACATAGAACACGCCTCATTTCTGAAGAATTATGCATCATTAGGGTGACATAAGTTCTGTCTCGGCAAACTGAAGCCACACCCACACATTAAAATAGCACATGGCTAAAGAAATATTACACATGAAGTTCTATCAAGTAAGAGCATCTATTCTTTTTTATAAGAAATAAAGGATTTTTGTTAATGTCATTTAAAGTCGTAGCATTGCTAATTACACATCTGGTCATCATGGATACCTTACCCTCGCATCATGGCCAATCAGCTCTTTGCATTCATCACAGGTGTTAGAAAACAGGCTGTCATAACAGGGGATGCAGTATGGGTTGTCATCAGATTGGATGTACTTGCGACCATAGAGGGATTCTTTGCAGTTATCACAGTCAAATCGGTCAGCCATTGTAGTTTTCTGCAAACCTGTGACACAGGAAAAGAAGGATCAGGATGATGTTGTTAAAATAAATAAAAAAAGTTTAACCCTACATAAAGAGAAGTATGAGAGTCACAGCATCAGCAGAGAAAGTAAAAGGCTTTAGCAGCAATAATAAAGCCATTAATAAGCTGCTGTTCTTAGCTAAAGCAAAAGATTTATAGGAAATAGAATCAAGTGAACATCTGGAAAGAACAAATAGGGAGACTTAATTGCTGCTGCAAACAGAGGGAGGAGAAAAAGCTATCACAATCTCGTCTTACACACCTCTGAATACATAAGGTATTGATGTGTTATTGATAAAGTCTGCCTGAATATAAATACAGAATGCAGGTAGAAATTGTACGTGTCTTTTTAAATTAGACTTATAAAAAGTCCTTAAATCCCTCAAATGATGTAAAAAAAAATCCTCAGGAAAGAAAATCATGATAGCCCACAGTATGCTTTTCAGTAGTCCTTTGTTTCAGAGAAACATTGCCATGGTGGGGCAACATGCTTCTGTTTTTCATTAACCTAGACAATGGCACACCTGTGAATGTACTTAAAGGCAACACCTTCGACACACCACTTCCCTGTGTGACATCATAAGGAAATCAGAAGCAATTAAGATATCGTAAAGAGAGGTGCGGACATCCATATCTCATCCTTCAGTACAATTTCTAAACATTTAGAGTACCTCCCATTTCAATCAGACCAATTATGCATGTCTGAAAAAAATGGCAATACCCACCTTTAATAAGACTAGGAAGGACACATTCTATATCCCAGAGAACAGATCTCTTTTGGATAGAAAGGTTTGTACAGAAAAACAACAAGACTAGTGAAAAAAGGAGATTCAAACTGTAGATAATGAATAAAAGTCCTTAAAGCTTAATCATTGTCACACTTATGGAGAGTCACACAGGTCTCTGCTGACAGTGTGCAAGCCTGAACACTTTAGGTGTTTATAGTGACACTGACGTTGGTACAATACCCCTGATAAACACAAGAGCAGTACATTACATAACCAGTGGAAATGTAGTTAACAGGAGAAGAAAAAGTTCACATATACCAAAAATAGCTGTTTGGCTTATCGAAAGCATTATTTCTTACAAACCCGATTCTGTTTTTTTGTATTTTGAAATCCTAGCTAAAGAAAAAAACAACAACAAAAGAAACCAAACATTTTATAGTGTATGGCAATATCTAGTTAAGATTTAAATAGGGGTGTTCTAGAAGTAGGGGGCTCATGGGGTTGGTCCTCTGACCATGACTGAGCACACAACAAAGCCATAGAATAACATTATGAGAGTATTACAGCAACGATATCCGGTTACCAAACCGTTACGACATGGCTGGAGGGCAGCCCGGTGAGGAGTGATCCGTTCCTTTGGCAGAGCACACCCCTGGATATCCATTCCAACCACCCAGGAATAATAATCAGCACTGATATAACAATCAATCACACTTCAGACCAGACCTGTGCTGCCTGTCTTACACATTCAAGATCAATACACACGTAAAAAAAAGCACACAAGAGGCATGTAAACACACTCCCACCCAAAAACACACAGAGACATTGGAGGCAAGGGAAAAAGAACAAAATGAGACAAATTGCATACAATCCATCATCAAACAAGGAATCAAGTTTCTGTCTGAACTCTCTGCAAGACAAAAGCTCCTAATGAGTTGGGGTGAGACAGTCACGGTCCCAGAGTTTATCTTCTTTCAGTACTCACATGGAGGCCTTTGACAGGCTTTTTTGGTGTAGCTGACACATCTTCCCCAGAGGCACTTTCAGCCCTTTCAATGACCTTAAAACATAAATTATGATGTCTAAACTCACGACAGCCCTGTGGCCCAGTGTTTATAGTACCATAGCTCAGATTACTACTGAAACATCTCTCCATGCGCTCAGAGACTGGGATGAATACATCACAAATATCTGATTTTAAACATTACAATGTCCACCTGGAGGCTGTGGCTAAATATCAGAGTGAAACAGCTGTGGTCAGTCTGTGTAATAAAACAGTAAGCTGCATGTGTTTAACATCCGATGCATTTCACAAGTCATCCATCGCTGAAATTCCAGCAATGTTGCAATCGTTCGCTCACATCGAGATAGATAAGATTGACAAGGTATATACCTAAAAAGGAGAACTTGAAGCATACTGTAATCATAATGCCAGGTAAAAAAGAGGAACAGAATGTGCTGTCTTAGCATGCAAGGTGAGAGAACGAGATCAGGCATGACTCACAATGACACAAAGACAGAGCTAATTTCCAAAGCAAATGGAACATCTAAGATATTTAATGCTGTCTACAAAAGTGCATGCATCATACCCATATCAGTGTTCTGTGGTAACTGGGTACAATTCACATCCTTACAAAAGCTATTTGATTTACTACTAACTAGTGTTATGTTAGAGATTACATGCTCCAAATCAACATGGTCCCATATAAAATTCTTATAGGCCCCTTACCCCTGTTAACCCCTTTTAATAAGTTCAAATCAAGCAACTACACCCATGTATACCAACTGTCAGGCATGTAGAACTAAGAAACCAGTTAAATTGAAACTATTTGATAACATGAGGTACGTCAAAAGCAGCAGTTCGTGGCTTAAAGAAATCCAAGAAAAGATGAGAAACAAAGCCACTGGAATTTTTCAGTCTGGAAATGTTTACTAAGGCTTTGGTACTCCTTAACATCACTGTTAGAGCCCATAGCCAGAAGTGAAAAAATATGGAGTACTTATAGACCTTCCCAGCATCAGCTGGCCAAATGCAATTAATAGAAGAGTTTACTAATGGATACAAAATAACAGCAAAACATCTAATACTCTGCATGCCGTATTTTCCTCAGTTGGGGTCAGAATTCATGATTCAGAATCAGAATAATCTTTCTTTGCCAAGTTTGCTGCAAAAGCTAGTAATTGGACTTTGGTTTCCATTGTTCACATTGTATGAATTTTATTGAATAAATAAAATACATAAAATAATTGTCATACTTTTTCTCAGGTTATGTATATATTATCTAAAATTTAGTTTTTTGATCTACAACATTCAAAATTGTCAAAAAAAAAAAAAAAAGGGACATACCTTAAGTGTACACTTGAGGGCTCAGAAATAAACTTTTCCCTTTACACTTTGTCTTCTGAGAAAGAACTGAGGCAGCAACAAGGTTATGAGGGAACAACAGAAAGAAAGACTTCAAAGCCCACAAACACATACTACCTCATAAATAAGAGGAAATGATTGTTTTCCCTGGCGTATCTTTTACTGTTTCCACTACAGATATTCACTTCTGGTATCAGTGTGGGCCAAGCCAAAGTAAAGCTTGTAATGAACTTCTGATGACATGCTCTCACAGAGAAGGGCATGACGTCAGCCCACTGACCCCAGGGATGATGGACCAAGACGTGAGTGCATGCACATGTTGCTGACTCAAAAGAGAAGAGCTTCCAGACGTGAGGCAGTTTCTCACAGCACTGTTTACAGTCTCTACTCCGGTTGCTTCGCAGCAGAGGTCCATCTCCTTCATGCCCAGTGCTTACAGGCAAAGAGCTGAACTAATAATGCTTTAAAATGCCAGGTCTATGACTGAACTCAGCGCCCTGGGAAACTTGTGGGCCTTTTTAAGGAAATCAGTGCAGTACCAAAAAAAGAACAAAGCGGCTTGTTTATTGTTCTTAGCAATCTTGGATTTGTTTTTAAACCTTCCTCAAATCATACATTATTATAGTCATGCTGTATCAGTGCTGTACCTGATCTTAGCAGCCTTTAAAGGCAAAGGAATGATTCGAAGCAAAAACGATCATGTCCTTAGGTAACCAGAAGCCACAGCTGCACAAGTTGTTTACTGCAACAGACAATCCAACATTCACTTCTTCATTTTTTTTTTTACAGAGTAGCAGTAACTATTGACCTCATTCCATCACAGGACAATAGTTACTGCTTTTTAGCACTGATGGAAAGTAAATATATACGGAAAGTGTCAGTAAACACAAACTGAAAGACAAGTAGGTAAACTGTTTCTTTTCATTCGAGTTCCTGTTCTTGTTAGCACAAAAAGTTATGGTGCAGAGCAATATAACAATGTCAATAAAATATTGAGGAAGAAAAAACAACATTAATTAAAATAAAGGTCAGCTTTGAACGATCATAATGGATCATAAATCTAACAGTTTCATGTGTTGGTGTTTAGCTTTTTCATGTGGGCTGATTGTTCCAACCGGGAAAGCCAAGAGCATGTTGTCCTCGAACCCTGATTTTGAAACACCATCTTGTTTGCCACACAGGAGGCATGCTAGCTGCAACAGAAAGCTGCTGATAACACACAGATCCATGCTTGAGAGTTAGAAGTAAGCACTTTTTTCACACAACAGTAAGAGCAAAGTTCTGCGGCAATGGACTCTGAATAACGCAGGCTTCCAATATCATTAAAAACAAGGAAACCGTGGAGTGAATTAATATAAAATAACAATAAAAATGGTTGAAAAAAATTTGCAACTCTGATTTTTGGCCCTAAAACCACCATCAATTAGCATTTAATCAAGATGAAGAAGAGATTGAAATCAGTAATGTAACCATGGGTTGCATGTTATTCTCGTACTGAAACACATCAACACTCTAAAAATTCTGCAAATGGGTTTTGCACATAAAAGTACTGCTCAAAAATATTGCTTGTTTTTACAATGTAAAATAACCATTTCTTTATAGTTCATCTTTTTTTTATGGAATTTCAATATAAATGATTGCCAAATTCAATTAAATGTGTCCTACGTAAGATTTTACATGACATTTGACAAAAGATCAAAGAAAACTTTCCATCCATGCAAATTTTGAAGTCTAAGTGTTATGGAATAAAATAAAAAGGTAATATAACATAAAAGAGCTTTAACCAATATCCGTTTACAAACCGGCTGTGGAGTCTTAGCTTGTTTTTACAAATGCGGAAATGAGATAGGAGAAGAATGCGAAGGCTGCATTCTGCTAGTCATCACAAT